CCCCAGGCTTCCTGGAATCAGCGCTGATCAGTTTCAGCAGCAGCTGACTTGGGGACTTGGGGTTCTTAAGTTGAATCTGTATGTAAGTCAGAACTGGCGGTCAGTTTCAGCAGCGGCTATCTGGACGCCAGTTCCGACTTACATACAGATTCAACTTAAGAACAAACCTACAGTCCCTATCTTGTACGTAACCCGGGGACTGCCTGTAATGATCTACTATATTTTCCAGTGCAAGTCCCTATAGCAGAATAATCACATAAAGACATTCTAAAAAACTGCATCTCTGGCACTAACAGGAGTTCTTCAGATTAGATACTTTCCTCCATATGATTGGCACAATGCAATCAAAAATGAATATTACAAACAGTCTGCTCTCAAGATATGTGTAATATGACATTAGTCTTCCCTAATGCTTCTCAATTGACCATGAAGAGAGACCTGCAAAAGGATATTGGTATAACAGAAGATACAAATCATGGTAGATCGATAGTCAACATGATATCCTTATAAGATAGTTCACGGAAGCTAGAGCAAACTAAGCAGTACCCATGAGAGTTGGAGGAAATGAAGAGGAAATTACAAAATCTCAGATGATACTCTTTGCAGCTCAAAAAAAAAAGGAGTCTGCCAAAAATTAAAGTGGAGGAAAGCATGAGGATTGCCTCAATAACTAAGAACAGAATTTTTCTCCTTTCAGGATAGAGGAAACTAGATAATATTGCTGCACCTTCGCAAGCCATCAGAATGAACAATGGCTACAATATGTTATTTGGTGGTAATCTACTATGTTGATAATCACACCAGTTTTTCAAAACTTCAGAATGTACTTAGGCTTTTTAAGGCTTGAAGAGTTAATTAACCAGTTAACAACATTCAACCTTCTGTTTTTCGCTCTCTAGGTTTGTTACTTTTCTGATTGTAGTTAGTTAATGTGAGTTTTGCTGGCTTCACTGATAGCAGAATGAGGCTGATTAATACAAAGACTTACAAGCATTTTCGCCAGCTACAATGGAAAATGTAATAAAAGATCAAAATGCTAACATCGTGGAAAACAGGCCTGATTCCAATTCAACAAAATGAGGCAGGGATGTGTCTTGGATACTTAAAATGTAGGCAGAGACAAATACATGTCAACAGAGTCTCTAGCTAGAAACTCTCTTTTCTGTTTGCCCAGCATCCAAGACAACTGAGCCCTAAACTACATTGCATATTTGGGGCAACTCCTAGAATATAAATGATTAATAATTTCAGCCTCTCCACAATTCACTCAGTAACAGTCACAGAAATTCATATGTACAGGCAGTCCCTGGGTTACGTACAAGATAGGGACTGTAGGTTTGTTCTTAAGTTGAATTTGTATGTAAGTCGGAACTGGTACATATTGTAGGGGAAACTCTAGCCAAACATTTCTCCAGAGCTCAGTTTTATTCTCCCACACCTCACTTCCCTCAGTCCTTTATTCTCAAGATGAGGTGTCTGCTGAGAAAAGCCGCTCCACCTCTCCCTGGTCTGCTGGGGTGGGGGGGCGCTAGCTTCGCATCTCCCTGGTCTGCTGGGGGGAAGCAGCTAGTGCAGGGTTGCCTCACCCCGTTTGTAAGTAGGGATCCGATGTAAGTCGGATCCATGTAACCCGGGGACTGCCTGTACTTACACACCTCACTTCCCTCAGTCCTTTATTCTCAAGCTGAGGTGTCTGCTGAGAGTCTGGGTCTCCCTGGTGTGGGGGGGGGGGGGGGGGGCGCTAGCTTCGCGTCTCCCTGGTCTGCTGGGGGGAAGCAGCTAGTGCGGGGTTGCCTCACCCCGTTTGTAAGTAGGGATCCGATGTAAGTCGGATCCATGTAACCCGGAGACTGCCTGTATACTAACAATTTAATAAATCTAACAAATAAACTGTTATATTATTAAAATAGAGTAACACTCATGCTTTGGCATCTTTTGGGATCTTCAATACCCAAATGGCAGCACACTGTTGCCAAAAGAGAAAACTCAAGGGCTATAAGCTATAATACATCATGAGCCATAAGCCAATATTACAAACAGACACAGTCTCAGGCAAGCAGAGCCAACAACCTCTGCAAGCCCCTAGGCAAGATGGAGTGGCTGGCTTTGTGCTCCCAGAAGGGGCAGGGCCAGGGCAACCATAGTAGCAGTGGCAGCAGCCAAGAGCCCCAAACTCCTTTGAATTTATGGACCCCAGGGCACCTTTGCCCCTCCCATGTCAGCAGGCTTGGCTCAAGCCATATGAACTGTGTCTTAGATTAGCCAAATAATCACGTTCACAAGACTTAGCCAAATGATTAAAAAGCAAAATTAAATTTGGTTATGACTTTATAAACTGTTTTGGATCTACATGTCAAGTACATGTAGGTTAAAATTATATTCCAAGGTACACACATTTTTTCCCCCTTTTTCTTGTTTTCTGCCTCATTTTGGTCAACACAATTTCTCTAAAACTCAGGTGGAAGCAGGAGTACACTTTCACAACTCATTTGGAGAAACTACAGGAGAATTCAGACATTATGACAGGATCTATGCAGGGCCTTCCAAAACTTTACAGTATCCTGATTGGAACTAAGGGGTGACACATGGGGGGGCCACAGAGGGTCAATGTGCTCCAATGCTATGCGAAAAGGAGAAAGGGAAACAGCAATCAACAGATGGAGAGGGTCAATGTGCTCCAATGCTATGCAAAAAGGAGAAAGAGAAACAGCAGTCAACAGATGATTCATCCAACCAGCCTGGGTCCCATACTTTAGGGGGCCCTGCAGGGCCCAGGTTCCCTAGTAGGTGGGGCTGCACTGGCAGTTGGGGTCAGACCTGCCTCCGCACTCACCAGCAGGAAGTGAAGCGACCTAGTTCCAGCCTGTTCCATTCCCAGCTGCATTACACACACTATAGATGGCTACTAGAAGCAAAGTGACGCAGCTAGCAGTCAGTGGAGCAGAGTGGGCTGAAATTAGTTCACTCTGCTTACCACTGCCAATAAGTGCCATGCTATGCCCCCAGGCTGGGTTGCTCAGGAACGGGGGCCTGGGAGAAGAGGTGGAGTGTGAACAGAGCAGGGCTTGGAAGGAGACAGAGACACAGGGGAAGGGACAGACAGAGAAGGGAATAGGAAGGACCTGGGTGGAGTAGGGGCGGCAAGTGGTAGGGCCGCCCCCCAGCCTAGGAGTGGTGCAGCAAGGAATCACATAGGAGGGGGCAGTCAAGTGGCTGGTGCTATCCCTTGTGTACCTCCCCAACAGCTGCCAGTGCTAGAACTTGTGACTTTTTCTATGATGTCTCAGAATGATGTAACAGCACCACAGAACTTTTAGAAATTGTCTTGAATTTTTATGTCAGTGTCGCACCATCTTTGCCCTATATACAGTATTTAAAACAGAGTTCAAATAGCTATTCTCTTTCACACCACTTACCAAATTCTAATTTACTTGGGATGGTCAACAGTACTGTTTGTTTGGTCTATTTTTTATTTGATTTACACAAGCTGGCTAAAATATTAGGATTTTTTTACATCATGGTCAGGAGGGAAACAATAGGCTTTGTGTCTGGGCCAACAAATGTGTGTCATGATTTTGCAATGCTGCCTTAACAAAAAGAGGTAACGGGAAGTCAATATTTTTCAGCCTAAAGGGATTTTTATGATTAATAAAATGAGTCAGTCTAAACAACTGTTCATGGCTTCGTTATTAAGGCATTAAATTGTTACAAACAGCAAGTGTAAATTAGCACATCAATGACACATTCCAGAGCCAGTCTCACCACTAAAATTATGTTAACAAGTGAAGAATTTAGAACCAGATCATGGCTGGCTCCTGTCCAGGTGCACAACATGGAGAGTGCACAGAGTATCATCCTCACTTGTACCACTTTCCCATTGAAACCATATGCTCTCTCAATCACAAGGTTTGATCAGGACTAAAACATGCTCCACCTTTCAGAAATTAAACAGAGAATAAGGATTTTAGAATAATTTTTAACAGAACTTAACATTTTTGACAGCAGTGGCTAATATAGAGTGTCTTAAACCACTAGACAATTTTAGCCATTATTACATTTAAGCATCACTGATTTACATAATTTTGTATTAAGAAATTAACTTCCATAATAAGTAAGTGCTTACCACTAATAGTGCTGTTTTACTCTTTAAAGATCTTTATAAACGTTTATTAATCTTAACACCTCTGAGATGCAATTGTGACAGATAAGGCAATTATCTTCCATATCCTTGGGAGACCTCATCGAATTAAGTCTAAGTCTTTTCAGAACTAGCTGTGATACACTAATTGTTTATGTATTATTTTGGGTGATATGATATCAACTTCTCATGGGAGGAGGCATATGTTAGGCATACTGTCACTGGTTCATTCTCCTGCACATCTACTAATGTAATATATGCCATCAAGTGCCAACAATGCCCCACTGCTATATACGTCGGCCAAACTGGACAGTCCCTACGTAAAAGAATCAATGAACACAAATCAGATATTAGGAATAGCAATATACAAAAATCTGTAGGGGAACATTTCAATCTTCCTGGACACACAATCGCAGATCTAAAGGTAGCCATCCTGCAGCAAAAAAACTTAACGACCAGACTTCAAAGAGAAACTGCTGAGCTACAGTTCATCTTCAAGTTTGACACAATCAACTCTGGATTAAACAAAGACTGTGAATGGCTTGCTAACTACAAAAGCAGCTTCTCCTCTCTTGGAATTCACCCCTCCAGATCAGCTACTAGAAGTGGGCCTCATCCTCCTTGATTGGATCTACCTCGTCATCTCCAGCCTGATTCTGGCCTGCATATTTATCCCTGCCTCTGGAAATTTCCACTACATGCATCTGACGAAGTGGGTCGTTGCCCACAAAAGCTTATGCTCCGACACTTCAGTTAGTCTATAAGGTGCCACAGGACTCCTCGCCGCTTATGTTAGAACTGTGGGTTCAAAGGACTATATACTGAACAACGTGCCAGACAAGAAGGGACTTTTGGGGTAAGATGTGTTAAGGGATCTTTCTGAGGAATGTGTATGGCACGATGAATGCACCATCTTTGTTTATGCAAAATTCCATTTTTTTTAGGCTATTCCCTGAGGAATGAGCCACCCTGCTACATGAGACCAAGAATAAAAGCCCAAGTTTTATATGCAAAATTCCATTTTTTTTAGGCTATCCCCTGAGGAATGAGACAAATCAGACTATTCATGGTTTTTCTGGTTCTAAATTAGAGACAATCATGAACTTGTAACTACAGGAAAAAACTCAATGTGGGTTTTGAAGGACTGACACCCACCAGAGCTGAATTTTGGAGTCAGGAGGACTATTAGTGAAGCTTTTTGTTATCTACATAAGTTATTTTATTGTTTTTAACATATTTTCTCTGTAATGCTTTCACCTTACAAATACATGTGCTTGCTTAGAAAAGCTATGTAGTAAGGTGTAACTGTGGAAAACTGCTCATAACCTCTGAGAAGAAAGCAAAGCATAGCTCTGACCTTCTAATCAGTTTGGCTCTCTGAGGATATCAAAGTGTAGGCAGGGGAACTGTGAACTGTGGTAAAACCCTAGTCAGGACGGAGAAACATGTAGGTGTCTTGCAAAAAGAGGTGATGGCTGAGGAGCCAGGAGGCTAGAGTGAGTCCCTTTGGTGCACCCTAAAAGAGGAATACAGGTGCAGTTGCTCTGAACTGAGAATGTGTGTAACACCAGTAAATATCCATCTTCCAGATGTGGAGACTGAGATGTTAAGTGACTGGCCCAACATTTCTAAGGGAGTCACATCAAAATTAAGACATCACAATTCACATTCCTGAGTTCAGTCCACTAGGCAAGACAAGCTTCAAGACAGCTGCACTACGGGTTCTACTGCAGTAGATCAGAAGTTCATTATTAAGGCAATGAAGGTCGCCCTGGTTAATACTTGGAAAAATACCAGAACTGTGGTAGGGATTAGGGACAACAGTAAGTAAAACTGACTATTAAAAAGTAATGACATATCTATTAACAGCTTAAATATTGCGAGACTTACCTCAAAATGGTGATCAATTAGTTCAAAATATTCTTGTAAAGGAACTGAACCAGAAAAGATACATGTGAAGTCTTTACTATTTTGCTTCTTGAAATGTTCTTCAAGACGAAATATGAGCTCTTTCGTGATTAGCCAAAGATCTTCTAATTGTTCACTCTGGATTCTATAGCGCTCTTTAAAAACAAAAAACAAACAAAAACATAGTAAAGAAAGAAGCCATACATATTAGTTCATAAATTGCAGAGAAGTCATTATACATAGAAAGTAGTCCAAGTTGTGAAATATTTCAAACATATTTACTCTAAGTTATCATGAAGGAAACATTTTTTGTTAGTGCTGTTTATAAAATGTTCTGATGTTTCACCAAACTAAAAATGCTTCTAAATTACTATCTTTATGATTTTATCCACATTTTTCCCCACACTTAATAGTAAAATTTTGTAGCAAGATTCCAGTTTTCTAAGATCTGAATCAGGTCAGTTGTTTCATGCAGTTTTAAGTCCCCAAAATGTGATTTCATTAAAATAAGTACCTAACTAAAAAATGATTTCTTTTAGTCACATGTTACAGTCTTAATTCTACAACAGCAATAGGAAACTATTTACTTTCATATTTTGACTTTGTTGTCCCAAGAGTAAAGTATGAAACTATGTATTGGTTGAATGTTATTTATTATAAACCAAGCAGTAGATCATGGAGCAAAAAGGGGATGGAGAACTCCTCTAACAGAATTTATGGGCAAGCCCGAGATGGTCATATAAAGCCAACATAACTGGCTCTATACTGTTAACACCCACTACCCAGACTTAATGAGCTTCCCTGAGCAGGTTAATAAGAGAGCTGAAGCTCAATCCACTCCCATAACAAGAGGCCAGCAAAGCATCCTTAACAGAACCTCACAATTAATGAAACATTAAATAGACTTTAGGATGCTCTGAGTTATGGTATGGGTGAAGAATTAGAGAAGCAAAACATTTCGTTCTCTCAGACCTGTACCTCCAAAGATATAGATAAAACTAACAAATTACACTCTACCCAGAAGCTATCAGACAACAATTATCATTGCAATAATTTAATGTTGAGAAAAGCATGGATTGTGGTATTGAAATCTATATCTAAGAAACAATTGAAATCTTCTGGACAGACTGAGATTAAAGGTCGAGGCTTGTCTAGCTATTAGTGGTAAGCAATTGTTCAACAGCAGCTAGAAATTTAATAATGTACCAAGAATGTGAAATTTAGAAATAAATGAGACATAGAATCCCTCAATGAGAGGGGCAGATGTAAACCTTGCCATATCTTCCAGTTCCTTCCCCAAGTATCACTTCTATTTTATTAGGAAGCACTGTGTTTATATAGGTGCAATCTGTCTTTTATTATTCATGCATCTCACTTTTTAATCCAATGTTTCTGAGCACAATCACCCATCTACAATATTCGCCCAGGAAACACTCTGGAGAACAGATACAACTTCTAGTGTGATCAGTGCTGGCTCATTTGTGTTCTGACAAACCAACCAGGGAAGAGAACTTACCAACTGAAGATCCTTCATGTAAAATTCACTAGCTATAGCTTCATCATGATTAAATAAGGTAGGATGTTAAGTTTGAGCACTCCTGGTAACCTAAACAGCGATAGTATCATAAAAGCAAAGACATGGCACCCATGATAATGAGGACCCATCCCATTTAAGTCCTGATAATATTAATGATCATGGCTATTTTATTATGAATCATTACATTTTACGTTACAACGGAGTTTTAAGCAATAAGCCATTATTGACTTCAACCCCTAAAAAGTACTGTGTTGCTCTGTTAATGAAGAGCAGCTGAGCACACCACCTCAAATGTTGTTAAATTTAGGTTATCAGAGAATTATATCAATGTATAGAAAGAACTGGTAATATGTTCTGCGATTCTGTTGGTTAGTATAACATTAAAATTGGAAACCTAGTAAAAATCCAGTTATTGGCATTAGCCCATCACCCTTATCAAATTGACCTTATTAAAATATTTTAATATTTTAATATTTAATATTTATATTTAAAATTAAATATTTAAATAAGTTGCAAATCACACAGCTGACAGAAAAAGCTATACTTCTGATTTTACACCATATTGGTGTTCAGCTCTTCTCACTCCAGATTCTTGTACAGTATAACAAATCAACACTAACTAAATTTAAAGTAAAGAAAGGAAAATGCTGTTGAAAACCATATTTTTTTTATAAAAAAAAAAAAAGGTTATCCGGAGAGACAATTTTAAACAACACTGCCATATTTCTTTTCATTATTCATCCATCAATACAATGTCTGGGAGGAAATACAAAATTGCAGCTGTGATGAAAAAGGTCACTGAGGTTTTGCATACAGAAAAACAGAGATTGTTTTAATCAATGTTTTGTACTAGTTAGCAAAGTTCACAGTAAAATCAAAAGAACCAGAAGTTTTTAGACCACTAGTATACTTATTAAACATTCTCTCAAGATTAGTAATCCAAAACTGTTTGACTTTAATACTGGCATCATTCCCAGAATATATATTTCAATGAAGGGAGAATGACAAATTCCATTTACAAAGTTACAGGAAAGAAGCAAGTTTTATTTAAAAACATGTCTATTAAAGACAAGAACCCCATCTGTTAAAGATAACATTTGACATCATTTCCATTTTTTTTTAAATCACAAAGTGAAATGGCTGGGCTTTCACTCCTTTAAGTGAAATGAACTTTGAAAGTTTCAGACCAAATCAACAGCCACTTCATTTATAATTGACATAAATAATACATTAATGGTTTGGGGAGAGGAACCACCCACCTAGATTCCCCTGAAATAGTTTCAATACTTTTTTGCTGGTCAATACAAACAAAGTCTAACTTTATTTGAGGGGCAAAATAGTCATTCACTCTGTGATTTAACAAGCTGAAGGAGACAGTTAATTAGATTTGGAAAAAGTACATATGAACAAGGAACAACTAAAAAGCCTTAATCGTACTGTATCAATTTTCTACAAACTGAAATTCAAATGGAAGTAGTAACAATTATAAGTATTCCTGCTTTCCAAGTGCCTTTATAATAGTTAACCAATTTAAAATTTAAATGGCGAAAAAAAACTTCTCTAACATGAAGCGTACAAACATTTATTTCAGAAAAATCTGACTTAGTAAAGCAGATGACTCCAAGCACTAAAGGATACAAACGCTTTCAAATCTCACCTAAGATCAGAATGACAAAGTTAACAAGTCAAGGGTTGTATTCCTGAAAGGAATTTCAGTCCAATGCAAAGGAGACAAGCACTCATATCACAAAAAAAATACCAACACAATTAGCACTTTTTCTAAGCTAGGCTAAAAAGATTTAATTTTTGAAATATGTTGGCTAACATTTTAAAAATCTTACACTGGGCAAGCTGAATTCTGACATACAGTCAAGATGAAATTCCCCTCTCCAGGATTCATTTTGATCACCTAATGTGGTTTTTTCCCCCTACATTCTACAAAATGGATTAGCTAATAACTGGCATTACAGTTCACATCCTTAGCAAAGAACCCATAAACTAAATGCATATAAAGACTTTCACCACCACTACACCTAGCCCTTCCAGATCCAGATGGAGATCCATTTAAGGTAGAACACAAGAGAAGTCTGCACTTCCTCTAGTATGTACTATTCTTGAGTCTATGAGCAAGGATTTCATTACTTCAGTCTCAAAGCACAGTTATTCTTCCAGGGACCACCAATTCATGTGGCACTGATTGCCTGTGCTACACTTTTTTTTTTTAATTTAAAGAAAACTTTCAAATAATCTCAAAAGTTTGTTACACAAACAAACATAGCTAATACATGATTTATGGAACAACATAAATGGGCTGTCGCTAACACTTATACATTTATGGTGCGTCTATACAGCACCCTTAGCTCAAAATAAGATGCGCAACTGAAGCTACGTAAATTGCATACCATATTTTGAGTTAATTTCAAAATAGCTTATTTCAAAATTTGGTGCTAATTTTGAAGTAGAGCACTATTCTGAAACGTCCCTTAATCCTCAGATATAATATTTATAGGGACGTCGGAATAGCATGCCCGTTATTTCAAAAGATATTTCAAAACAACAGACGCGCTGTCAAGATGAGGAAAATGCTATTTCGGAACACAAGAAGTATCCCAAAATAGCACCGCTGTCAAGACCAGTGTTTCTTAAACTGTGTTCCATGTCACACAGATGTGCCGCAAGGCAGTGGGAGGTGTGCTGAAGAGAACAGGATTCAAAATGGCCACCCTTAAAGGGGCAGTTGACTTTTTTTCCCTTAACAACTTTCCTCTGACCCCTTCTTTTCCCTCTCAATAACTTTCTCTGTAACCCTTTTTACCCCATGACCTCCCCCCCTAACAAAAAATCCTTGATGTTCTTCATAAAAAAAAATATCGTTTGGTGTTCTTTGGTCTTAAAAAGAAACATTGGTCCAGACGCACCCTCAGTCTCTGCTCCAGAATGTACCCAACTTAGCCTTTCAAACACAATTCATTTTAATAGCATAAATCTACCAAATAGTATAATGTTAAATGTGCTTGTATTATCGATAACCTGTGCAAACAGAAACCCACAGATTTGCCTTGTGCATAATATTGTTTCAAAATGTTTCCACGCACATTAAAGATATTTTCCAAGATACAATTAACCAACAAAGATTTGATATGTTTTGTAGCTATCCCTATCAATGTGAATTATGTATTAGCTAAAGGACAGGTTGCTACTTGGATAGTAGCATGAAACACTTCTTTTGTTTTCAAAAGGCTTCCCAGACAAGGCAAGAAAAATGATGCCTCATCAGATTAGGGGAAGAAAAAATGTTTTACATCTTCTATGTAGTATGATCCTTACAGGTTAGGTCTAGCGAACAAATAAGGCAGTGTGAGAATGTTTATATCAAGACTGTAAGCACATCCTAGCTTGTGAATAAACACAATCAGAATGGAGAGCAAAAATCTAGGGGTTCAAGTAGAGGGACTGAAATTTGTATCCACACTAAAGTTTAAAATACATGTGCTGATGATCTTGACTGGCAAGACTGAATGTAAGTCAACATGGATCTGTGAAATGCTTAATACAACAATTCTAAAAAAATCGGAATATAAGTAACTGATTCTAACTTTAGTCTATAAGTACATATCCTTTAAATTCTTTTTTTCCTAGAAACTATTACTGTATGTTCCAGTTATTCCAAACTATTTAAATTCTACTGTTAACTTAAACAAATATTAAATGTCAACCAATAATAAAACACAGCACACAAATAGTACACATAATAAAAGCTAGTAAAATCTAATAAAACAAATAAGAATCCTATAAATGTCAAGTGGCTGATATTGTTAAAGGTGTTTAATAACCACTGTCCAGATCATTGGTCTTCAGCCTTTTTAACCACAAGATCATTTTTTTAATGTAACTCTAACTCAAATACTCTTACCCCACTTTTTTCCCCACTCCTTCTTTGAGGCCCTGCCCTTGCCCCAACCCTTCTGCGAAGCCTCACCCTGTTCACTCCATCCCCCTTCTTCCTCAAACCTCACTCACTTTCACCAGGCTGGGGTGGGGTACAGGCTCTGGTCTTGGGCCAAGGGGTTTTCAGTATGGGAAGGGCCTGGACTTAGCCCAGGGTAGGGGATTAGGGTCCAGGAGCTGTTTCAGGGTACAAGGTCTAGGAAGGAGTTTGGGTACAGGGGGACTCATGTCTGGGGCAGGAGTTTGGGTGCAGGAGGAGATTCAGAGCTCAGACAGGGGTTAAAAAAGCAGGCTCTGGGTTAGACACCTGCTAACTGGGATTAAGGCAGGCTTACTTTTGTCCTGGCCCTGCACCACTCCTAAAAGCAGCTGGCATGTACAGCAATGGCTCTATGGTTCCATGTGCTGCCCCTCATCTGCAGGCACTGAGCTCACAGCTTCTACTGGCCACGGTTCCCCATTACCGATCAATGGGAGCTGCAGGAGTGGTGTCTGCAGACAAGGATAACATGTAGAGACCCCCTGCTCTGCTTCTCTCAGGGGCTGCAGGCACATGCCAGCCACTTACAGGAGCAGCCATTACCAAAGGGGTAATGACTCCAGCCATGACAGGTTAGGCATTTTAGAACTCACTACTCAAAGAATTAAATTTTAAGCGTAAGAGACATGAAAATTATGAAATGCACAGACCAATCAAATATCCAAAATAACACACTTTGCAAGCAGTAAAAGGAGTAACAACAACCCATATGTGTTGGATCAGGAAATGAGAGTGAAGGACAGTGTGTGTTTGTAAGAATGACACACACACACACACACACACACACACACACAGAGAGAGAGACACACACACAGTGTGTGTGAGTAACAGATTTGCATTGCCAAGCTCCCTTTGTCCTCTTCTCTCCTTGTGGAGATAGGATACAGACGTGGGGGGAGGAGGGACACCTTAACATCAGAGCCCTGCCTCTTCTTCCTCCCACACCCTTCACAGCAAGCAGGAGGCTCCCAGGGGGCAGCTCCAAGGCAGAGGACAGGAGCAGCATAACAGTGGATGGAGGGTTCAGAGGGCAGGAGCAGCATGACAGTGGATGGAGGGTCAAGTGACGTGCCAGCACTTGATAGTTTCCTGGCCAAATCAGTCAGGATCACCTGTCAGAGGCTCCAAGATCTACCAGTAGATCCCCATCTACTGGTTGGTGACCACTGGTCCAGATGATTCCAAGCTTTAATGGCTTTGATGTTAAAAAGGTATTCTATATTTTCTCACGGTTTAGAATGCCAACCTGGTATTTATAAAACCCATCTTTGAATAAATGATTTTAATAACACATTTCTTAGTGATTTGGATTACAGCAGAACCTCAATGATAGTTATGGACTGACCAGTCAATCTGACAACCTTGTGAAACCAGAGGCAACCAATCAAGCAGTAGCAGACACAAAAATAAAAGCCAATAGTGTACTATTCCTGTGTTGCATCTTAAAGGTAGATATATCTGGGCTGTGTCTTCCCACCCCAATGCCACCCTCATGTGCAGGGCACCAACTTACATCTAGGAAGTGAAGATGTTGAAATCTATAGGCAAAGCTTTCGGCTGCTGCTGACAGCTCAAGGCAGTCAGAGCAAGAGCAGTATTGGGGTCTGCACTGCACTCCTGTAAACTGTGAATGCTGTTTTCACACACACACACCCTTGTCCAGGAGCGGAGGTGCTCTTTTAACCCCCTAAACATATACCTGCTGGGAGAAGAATGCACTGTTTTCATCCCTCCACCCTGGCTAAAAGGAGAACACAAGCTTGTCAAGGCCAAGAAGCTGCCTACAAGGAAGCTGCCAAGCTACCTCTGGAACCCTGTCCAGAGTTTAACCTGCTGGAGCCAGAGCTACATTTTGTTCAGAAGTACAGATGTTTCAGAGATACAGGCAACTTCCACCCCAAAGGTGTCCATAACTCTGAGGTTATACTTTAATTTTATCTGAATAAAAATATTGCAGATCAACAAACTAACTTTACTATTATTTAATCAAGGTAGCATTCATATATCATCCATTCTATATCCTCCAGTCTGAACTCAGTAGTGAGCACCAACTATTTTAGTTTTATAATTTGGCATTTAGGTATACAAAAATGCAGACAAGTGCCTGAACAGTTTAGGTATTTTTCTAAATCCCGTTTAAAATCAAGTCATTGAAAGTTAAGCAGAATTAGACATCTAACCTGTTTAAGTGTTTATAAATCCCACCATGTTCTTGCCTGAATCTTTAAGCATCTAAATGCCTGGCTAAACATCCATTTCCTCTGGGATGTTTCTGTCTTGAATAAAGACCATGACATTATAAAATGTAATTGCAATCACTTAAAAAGACCAAATTATCTGGCACCCATTTGGTGTTTTAAAAAAAAAAAATCTATACAATAGTAAGTAGGATTTAGTTTAGTTTCAGCATTTCCTTGCTTCTCTAAAATATTACTGAAAGGTTTATTCCATGAACCTCCTATTCACATTAAGAGAACTTCTATATAAAATTCCCTATGAAGTGAATAGCAGACTAAGTGTGTGACAGCTTTTCTGACTGTTGAAATAGGCATAGTTCCATTGACCTATGCCAACAAAAAACAGCTTATGATCTGGCACATAATGTTATCTTGATCCATAATTAAATTACTTCTAATATTACTCACGTGAGGTTTTTGAAGCAAGAAGAGTGATTCTAGAACCAGTTAAGAGCTGGAATCCCAGAACATTTACCTGATCTTCATCAGACTGATCAGCAAAGTCTATAAGAGAAAATTCAAAATAAACTACATAAAAAGCCTGCTATAATTCAATAAAAAAACTGCAGCAAACTTCAGAATTACGTTATAAGTTAGACTGTCCTTGCACAGGTAACACATTCGAGGGAGACCTGCATAAGAAGGGACCAAAGCAAAGGCGGAGAACAGCAGCCATCCCTGTGTGCAGAAATTGCCGGATCCATACTGCCTTCAGGAAGAAATTAATCCAGAAAGGGGCAGAAATGAAGCGTGACCATAACCCCTTCTCCCACCCAATGCACCAGCCCACAGAACATGGCCAGAATAGTGTAGCTTTCGATCTGCAATATCCCCTAAAATAGTATACAGTAAATTCTGTGCAACTCCAAAAGAGCCTGTACCTCCAGAATGTTCTTCCTGGGGAGACGCAATTTCATACTGCCCTCTATTCAAAGATCTGAGGAAATTTCACAGATGAACCCCCAAGCTGTATAAACTATTAGAAAAAGACCTTTAGATTTTTACAATTCATTCTTAGCCTTCAGTACAGTACATGGTCATTCTTCCCAGCTACCTTGTTAAATTAGCTACTACAGGCAGTCCCCGGGTTACGTACAAGATAAGAACAAACCTACAGTCCCTAAGTTGAATCTGTATGTAAGTCGGAACTAGCGTCCAGATTCAGCCGCTGCTGAAACTGACCGCCAGTTCTGACTTACATACAGAATCAACTTAAGAACCCCAAGCGTCCCCAAGTCAGCTGCTGCTGAAACTGATCAGCAGCTGATT